TCGTGTAATTGAATTGTTATCTAACCGCAAGAAATCTTAGCAGTTACAAAACTATTCGATAGTCCCTGGGGGCAGAGCCGGCAGCCAGTGCACTCCCATTGCCACTCCTCTGAAGTCCCCTGCCACTCCATGCTGCTGCCTCTGTACCAGAGGAAGCAGCGTAGGGTGGCAGTTGGAGCTGGTCCGCAAGGGGAGTCAGTTTAAAAACCAGCTTCTTGCGCAGACCAGTTGTCTGCCATCCTACACTGCTGCTTCTGACACAGAGGTAGCAGCGTATGGTGGCAGCAGCCCCTTTCTGCAAGGAATCCGAGCTCCCCATGGACAGAGGTTGCTTCATGGGATGCAGAGCAGCCCCTGTCCGGAGCTCCCCGTGGAGAGACAGCTCTGGCATCCCATGGAGCAGCCTCTGTCTGTGGGGAGCTCGGGCCCAACACACCTCTGATAAGAGGCAGGAGCGCAGGATGGGGGAAGGCAGTAATGCCAAGCTCATGCTGAGGGGAACAGGTTTTTAAGCCAGCTCCCCTCAGCACTCGCGCCTGCCTCCCCCGCCGCCTCTGTAAGAGAGGAAGGTGGGTCCGAGGACCCAGCACGCAAAGGGAGCCACCTTTCAGCCTACCTCCTCACCCCCTGCACTGCTGCCTCTCTATTAGGGATGTTAAATATCGGTTAATTGAATAGTTGAGTAACCTCATGAAATTTTATCGGTTAATCGACTATTGTAGAGTCCCTGAGGCAGGGCCAGCAGCCACTGTATCAGAAGCAGCAGCGTGGGGTGTCAGGTGGGACCTCGTCCACGAGGGGAGACAGTTTAAAAACCAGCTCCCCTCATGGAATGGCTTCCTGTCGCCCTATGCAGCTGCTTCTGAGAGAGTCACCAGTGTGGGGTGGCAGCAGTACCTGTCTGGGGGGGGAGTCTGAGCTCCCGGACCCAGTGAGAGCCAGAACTGAGCTGGGCTGCTTGTCCACCCGGCTCTTAATTCGTTTGAAATGCAGATCTGAAACTGGGGTAGGTACCGGACACAGCATGAACCAGGACTGAGCTGGGCTGTCTGCCCACCCAGCTCCCAATACACTTTAAATGCAGAGCCATAGCAGGGGTAGGTCCCAGACTCCTCACAAGCCAGGACGGAGGCAGGCTGCATGCCAGCCTGCTAAAAAATGTACTGGCAGGGAGAGAGAAATGCGTGTAGTCTAGAGCATTAACCTATAAACCTTTACTTATCGGTTAATCGACTTTACTATTACACCCCTACTCTCTATCAGAGTGAGCAGCACAGGGGTGGGAAGATAGATGGAGCCAATGCTCATGGGAAAGTTGGCTTTTAAACCAGCTTCTCACAGGCACCCGCTCCCCTCTTGCTGCCTCTGATACAGGCAGAAAGCGGGGGGGACAAGATTAACTGATAAGCCTAGGCGTATCAGTTAATACACGATGACGTTCCTAGCCCAAACATGTTAATTCTTAAAAATGCAATAATTTAAAGAGACAAATATATCTACCATATACTAGTCAATCATTATTTCCATGTTCTCATTGCTTCAGGAAGCAAAAACAATTATGGATAATTTGACACACTCCATGAACAGTTTAATACCCAAAAGAT